GTAAATTATGCTATTTGGGTTGCGTGTTTGACTTGCAGTAACTTAACTGATATTTCGTTCTGGTCATCGCTTTCTCATCTTCCTCCATCAGTGAACAGACAACAGTTAATTCATTCAGTGACAGCTGCTGAACTCCTGCTCTGTTTGTTCTGATTTAGCATATGGAAAATGAAATGACAACATTTTGGAGTTTGATAGCTTCAGTTTCTAACTTTAGTCAGTTAATGTCAGTTAAGTTACAAGTCTTATAAACTACATCACATTAGTAGTCCAGTGTGATATATTCCATGTCACCCGAATTCATACACAAGAAATTTAATACATTAACCATCCCCTCCTCCTAAGCTCGGAAATTGACTGAAAAATGTGTAGGACTATAATAATAGTGCATTGACAGCATGTGACGTAATTGACATTTGGTCACACGATATGCAAGAACCAATGGCGTTTTTATTAACTGCAGCTGAAGTACCTTTTGTATAGTCAGTTTTAAAAGTTTCAGTCTTTTAGCTATATGACTTCCACAATAAGCTGCCATTCATAAGAGATACTTTTGTGGCGCTTCTTTTGTTGTTTTAGTCAGAAAAGGCTTGACCGCTTCAGTCGTCTTTCACTTTAATTATGTGGAAAAGATAATCTAAAATCTATAGTCATACTGGTTTGTAATGACATGAGGGTGAATAAATTATGACAGAATATTCATTTTTAACCGTCCCTGAAACTAAAAGCCTGTCATGGCTGTTTTTTTGTTATATGTGTTTGGTCACTTGTCTGCTATTACACATGCTCCGTTTCTAATGATTTTATTTAATTTGTATCATTATCATTTTTCCAGATGTCTCGGCCTGTAAAACTGTCACACAAGAGACAACCATAGTTGGTAATGTATTGTTCTGCTGTGTTTTAACTGTAAATGTGGAGATCTGTCTATTTGAATATAAATCAACATGCTTCTGGTGATTCTAGTAATACTGTCTGCATTTCTGAAGGATACAGTATGTGAAGCAATGTTCATGCTAGTAATGTTCATAAACTATATAACTCAGGATCAGATGTTATGTTAATGAGACATTAAAAAGAGATATACATATTTTCATAACAGCTAATTTGTCTGACCCTTGCTACAACTACACTGTACTGGACGAGCCATGGAGAGCCACCAGTAATACACGTCGTTCAGGCATGAAGTGTGACCAGCATGTCACCTGGAGCGGCTGGTATCGTCTCTTTATTAACGGTCTGAGCGCTCATATCCCAGAGACATGTGTTGCAACATATGGCTGTGGCACTTACACCGCACTGGGGATACCTGATGGACACCCTAAAATTGAGGATGGAGTTGTCACTCGAGAGGCCTGCGCTCAATGGGGTGATTTCTGCTGCTATATCAGGTCTTTTCCCATTAAAGTCAAAGGTTGTCCAGGCAATTATTATGTCTATGAGCTGGTTAGACCAACTCACTGCGATGCGGCATACTGTGCAGGTGATTATATTTACATGAGCTCTTTCTACACGTTCATTATATTTGTGTGTCTGTTAATTAATCACTATTAATCCAAACTTTCAGATGTTAGCAGCATTAACACCAGCTCTACAGCCGCCAAACCAGCAACCAACTCAACTGGTAATGTACACTATTGATTTATTCTCAGGCCTGATTTATGTGCTGATCTTTACTATAGAATAGATGTTGGGAGCAGTGGTGTAATGTGACTTAGTAATAATACTTTGTTACAGTTCTTAACTTTAACTTTTACTCCACTACATTACCTTATTAAAATGTATACTTTGTTAAACATTGCATTTTGTATACTTTGTTAAACATAATACATTACCTAATTAAAATGATAATTCATTTCGGATAATTTCATTTTCCACTCAATTCGAGGCTGCGGTGTGCGATATAGTATATCTTCTGTGATAATATGTGTTGTTTTAATGATACGCGATCTGACATTATCGAGTATATCACAAAAACACAGAGAGTGCACGCATACACTACGTGATTTAGTTTACTAAAACACCTTTCGAATCATCAAAATTCAAGGCATTCTAAGTTGTAGGAGGCAAAAATACCTCTGTATGTCTTTTATATTTATATCATTTAATATAGTTAATCTATATCACAGAAAGAGTACCGTTTTTCTCCAGATATCAGTATGATAGCAAATGTAATATTGATTTTAAGATTAAGTGGCTTACATTTTAGACACAATATTGCCTGTCTTTGCTCAATTTTGCTAACCAAAATAGTTCCAAACAAAGATCACAGCACTGTTTTGCGTCTCTGAGCAACACGCAGGACAGTGTTTCCTTATTGAATGAATCAGATTTTTGAACAAATCGGTTGAATTAATGATTCAGTGACCCACTCATTAACAGCATCAAACGCTTGTGAAATTACATTTAAATGGCACTTAAAATGCAGATTCCAGATATGTTTTCTTATAGTAACTGGATGAAGTGCCTCTTATGGTTACCCAAATATACAATATGGAAGAAAGAGTTTAAACTATATATATATAATTTTTTTTTTTTCATAACAGTTTATCCCTCTGTTGACCCCTGCTACAACTACACTGTGCTGGATGAACCATGGAGAGCCAACAGCAGTCGCCCATCAAACTCCTACAAGTTTGACAGGTCTGTCACCTGGAGCGGCTGGTATCGGCTCTTCATTAACGGTGTGAGCACTCAGATCCCAGACACGTGTGTTGAAATCTGTACCTGTGGCACTGATATCCCACTGTGGATTCGTGGTGGACACCCAACAGTTGAGGATGGAGTCGTCACTCGAGATGTCTGCGGTCACTGGAACAATTACTGCTGCTATTACGGGTCTTACCCCATTAAAGTCAAAGCCTGTCCAGGCAATTATTATGTCTATGAGCTGGTTAGACCAACTCTCAACCAAGCAGCCTACTGTGCAGGTAATTACAATTACATGAGTCTTTTGTATTATTTATGTCATTGTTGATTGGTATTTATCAGTCATTATTGTTCAACTGTTACTAACATCAGTGCCACTTTTTCAACAGTCAGACAAGAGACGAGCTCAGCTGGTAATGTAGTCTGATGTTTCTTCTGTTAAACTGTGTTTTGTCTGAATGTGTGTGGATCTATAGAAATTAACAGGTGTGTGAGTGTGTTTGTGTCTCTAGGTAAAAACGAGGGATACAAATGTGTGTGAAATGTGCAGCTGCAGATCATTGCAGACATTATTTCTTGAGCACTGTGCACAAGCTAGATACATTTTCTTCACTATTCATCCAAACTTTCAAATGTTAGCAGCATTAATGGTGAGCTTATTCAAGCTTTCGTAAACTTTACGGTAAAAAAACGGCAGCTGTGGTTGCCGGAATTTTACCGTTAAAAATACGGTAACAACGTTTTAGGTTTTAACTTAAATTTACAGTTAAATACCGTAATTTCATTAACTGATATAATGTTAATATACCAACCTATTGAAGTACTGAAATCTGTTTTGTACCTTTATAATACACTGATAATCACCAAATGCAGGAGGTGATGAGAAAGTCACATGATGAACCAAAGCCCATCACAAGCAGCTTTTAAATAATATCATATATAAAAGGTGCACACAGTGTCATTCACACAAACACTAAACACCATCACGATAACACACATGAAACTGAAATAATGCAATAAACATTCATTTAACAACATTAGGTGTAACACACAACCCTAATGTACAAAACTGATCCGAAAAAAACTAAGAAGAAACAGTTATTTCAACAAAAAAACATCAAATTTGAAATGTAACGGAGGGAATTCTGGGAATGTCAATTTACGGTTATTCACTGTAAATTATACGGTCTTTTTCACTTCCAAAAACGGTATACTACCGTAAAATTAATGTCTAATTCGTGTAATGTCCAATACAGTGTTTCACCATATATAGTAGGGGAATTTACCGTTAACCATTTAACAGGTTTTTACTGTAGCATTTTTACAGTCTTTTACCGTTAAATTCACTGTCATTTTTTTGCTTGTAAAAAATATCCACGGAGCAGACATTATTTCATGAGCTTCAGTGCACAAATCATACATTTATGGATATTAAGAGAAATTATGTTTGCTCCATTTTCATATGGTTGACTGTGAGAAAAATGTAGTTGCATGTTATTATTACATGTACATTAAACTTCTCAAACAGTTTTTGTTTGTTCCCCACACTCACGGTTATATTTGTTATTTATTTATATCCCTTGTTTTTTATTTTATTTTTTTTATTTTGTGTTTTGTTTTATTATTGCCTTCATGCTGATTTCTGTCATTGCAGTTGTAAATATGACGCTGCAGGAAGGATGCAACGTAAGTTGAGATTCTGAAATTTAAATTTCTGAGTTAGACTCACAGCTTCTATCAATTATGGTGCAGAGAGCAGTGCAATAAGATGTGGCAGATATTAGAAATATGAATGTGATTTATTGCTTATTGCTGATGGTTATGTGCACTTTTGTTTACTATTAATATTGTAAAACATGATTAAAACCACAGTCTCATTTACCACATAAAGCTCAATTGTGATTTCAGAGTCAGACCTTTGGAGGATGTTTTCAAAATCTTCTTGAGCAGATCGAGAACATTACATCTCAAGAGCTTCCTTTGGATGTACGTCTTCAAGAGAAAAATGACAAAATAATTAAATTGTTTTTGGTTGCATAGTGATTGCACAATAACTGTATTTTTCTAATCAAATTAGACTGTGAAAAACATTTTGAATATGGCCTTCAACACTTCAGAGAAGATTTTAGAGTCATCATCATCAGTAAACCCAGCTGAACTAGTCTCCTATGGAAACCGTATGTTAAAAGCCAGTGAGAAACTCATTTCTACATTAGTGAAGCAGACAGACACTAGTGACAGTGTCAGTTTTACTCTTGCTGCTGTAGGTAAGTGGAGACACAATTATTATTAATGATTCAACTCAGGTTATATATGATGTCAGTGACTTTATTTAGTCTAGACAGCAGCAGCTGGTCAGACAGCAGCAAATGCAGCTACAGAAATACATTTAATTTAAGTTAATTGTATAGAGTTATAAACTTATGAGAGAGCAGACATCCTGTCATATGTACACAGACAGGTTGTCTTAAAAACAAATAATACAATATTAAAAAAAACGTTAAACACAGGTTAACTTACAGTGAAAAGTTCATGGTTTGGGGATACCTCAGTGTGTTTGTGAATATTAGCTGCCTTGAGCATAAAACAATCTACAATAAAAAAAAATTGTGATCACCAATTGATGGTGGCTATTAATTACAGTGTTTGATTTTAAGGACATGTTGGACATTTGAGTATTGGAGCATTTGAACACTTGAGTACACAGTATACTGATATATACTGGCCTTTGACCACAGATGACCTAAATATTAAGTGCTTTCATTTACATTTTTGCAGTTCGCAGATTAAAATTCGACCTAAAGGGTTTAAATTGCATTAGAGATGAAAACCCAACAATAGACAATGAATTTCTTTGTCTTGTGTGCAAATTGAATGATTGAATTGGACTTTCATAAAAAAAGATAAATATAAATTAATGCTGAACATAACTGCTTGTTTGTGTTTAATCAGAGGGTCAAGTATTCATGGTTGGACCACAGGTCACCTTAAATAAAATCCCTCGACTCGACACGACAAATTCTTCTGTGGACATCGATCTCATTGGGATCACCAGGAACAACAATGAAAGTATGTCAAATATATATAAAAAAATCATAGAGACAGCATACTATTACCACTAAACATGTATTGTTGTTTTACATAGTACTGCATTTACTGTAGTTTCTGTTTCTGTCTCACAGAATCAGCTGCTGTGGCTTTCATGAGCTACAACACAATGGAGTATCTACTGAAGCCAGACTTCTTCAACACATCAAAAGACACGGTTAACACCATGATGTCCACTGTGATCTCAGCTACTCTTCCCAAAACCACCAACACT